GAAGTCCACCGAAGCGCCAACTTCACTGCTATCTTCTACTCCAACTCCGACACGTATCGCCGCTCACCCGGATATCGCGCCACCGAAGGAACCTGGCACGCAAGAAAGGGACATCCAAGCAACACAGTGTTAAACAACACGATAAGAGCAGGTGTGCTCAACAAAGACTCATTACTACTAACCGACGGCAGAGAACTCCAGCGAGTCCGTGGAACGTGCTTCACCTGTCCAGAAGCCGACTTACCGCACCAGCCGTTCGTCTCGCATCACAATCCAAGCGCACCTGCATACGCATCTCTTGAAAAGGTATACAGCGACATACTGTACAATCGCGAACCTGGGCAGAACGCATACAACTACACCATCACATTTATCGACGCAGCCACACGCTACGTTTGGCACCTCAACCTTCCAAGCAAGGACATGGCCTTCGAAGCTTTCGTCGCCTGGCTTCTAGTGGCGGAACGAGAATCAGGCGTGAAACTCAAAAGCTTCCAGCCAGACGGAGGGGGAGAATACACCTCACAGAGGTTCAAGCAGTACTTGGCAGAGAGAGGAATCAAGCGGCTCATCTCCCTTCCCTATGCCCATCAACAGCAAGGTGTAGCAGAAAGGATGAACAGGACCCTCCAGAACAACATGCGCAAGCTGCTACGTGGCATGCACTTGCCCAACCACCAGTGGCCCGAAGCAATGGAACCCGCTGTGATGCTGCACAACTTGCTCTCGTCATCATCGCTCCCGAACAACGCATCACCGCATCTGCTGTGGACAGGAAAACTGGGCAGCACAAAAATGTTAAGAGTTTTCGGCTGCATGGTACAGTATCGACCCCCATCTGCACGAGCCGGCCGATTCTCTCAACGCGCACAGTGGGGGCTACACCTGGGCATTGAAAAACACTACAACGCATGGAAGATTTTCGACGTCGACACAAAGGAAACAGTAGCAGCACGTGATGTCATCTTCTACGAAAACCTCACCCTTCGGACATACCTTGCCAACGTGAGAGAAAACAACCCAGACCTCTCGGGCGGATTTCTTGGCACCCGAGCCTTCGCTTCGGCAGAAGATGAAGCTGACTGGGACGAGCAGAACGTGGAAGGAGCCTCGGAAGAAGCCGGACCTCTTCCCTACTGCTCGATTGATGTCCCGATGGACGACGAAAATCCACGCGACAGCATCAACGCCAAAGTCTACTACCACTTCGCCGACAACGGTTACGTTACACCAGCACAGGTCAACACCGACGAAGCAGAACGCGTAGGGCCAAATTTCAATCCTACACCAGAAGCGGGAGATGAAGCAGTCTATCCCAAGGACACAACACTCCCCCGCTACACATAGAGTGGACTCCAGATACTCGGCCTCGTCACCGCGGTTCACGGCACAGCCATTCCTAAGGAGCCTGCCACGATTCAGCAGGCTCTGGGGGGGAAGCATAGGAAAAAATGGCGCGAAGCCATGGACAAGGAGCTGAAAGCACTAGAAGAACGGAACACCTGGAAAGTTGTTCCCATCGGCGTGGCACGAAACAAGACAGTACTCACCGGGAAATGGGTCTTCCGTATGAAGACAAAGGCAGACGGCACCATCGACAAGTTTAAAGCGCGCTGGGTCGTACGCGGCTTCGACCAAGAACACGGACGCGACTTCACCGAAACATTTGCGCCGGTCAGCCGACACACCTCGATGCGAATTCTCCTCGCGATCGCCGCCATGAAGAAGAAGAAACTGCGGCAAATCGATGTCGCCAACGCATTTCTCTACGCACTTGTCGATGCAAAAATCTTCGTCGAACTACCACATGGCTCCAACGGAGAGCCTAACCAAGTCTGTCAGCTGCTGAAGTCGCTCTACGGCATCAAACAAGCCCCGAGGTTGTGGCAACAGTACCTGCACGCAAGACTTATCCGCATAGAATTCCACCAGCTACCTTACGACCAGGGCATGTACCGTCTTACAAAAGGCAACGACTACATCATACTAATCGTCTACGTAGACGATCTGCTCTACATCGGGTCGACCGACGACGTCACTACCTGGTTCGAAGGGGAGCTACGGAAAGATCTCACGCTCATGGTCTCGTCTACCGTCACGCAATATCTCGGCCTCAACATTCAGGAAGAAGAGAACGCAATCTACCTCAGCGCCGCAAAATACGCCGACACCATCGCCAAACGCTTCGCACTCACGCCGACCACCATCTCCACGCCATACCGCTACACGGCATGAAATAACAAGGAAGGATCCGCTCCACTAAAGCCCGCCGACATACACGACTACCAGAGAAAACTGGGATGCCTCCTCTTCGCAGCTGTCACCTGCCGTCCGGACCTATCGTACTCCACAAGTCAGCTCACAACCTACCTCAAAAAAACCTGAATCAGAACACATGGCGGAACTCGACCGCGCTCTCCACTACCTCGTCAGCACCTCAACCGTCGGTCTAACCTACCACAAGAACGGAACTACGACACCTAAACTAATCGGCTACGTCGACGCCGATCACGCCGGCGACTCCGACAACAGACGCTCACGCACCGGCTATATCTATCGCCTCGAGCCTATCGGACCTATCTCATGGCAGTCGAGCAAGCAGGAGTTAATCGCTCTCTCCTCAGCTGAAGCTGAATATATCGCAATCTGCTCAGCCACCAAGGAAGGACTGTACCTTCGCGAACTTCTGGAGGAGGCGAAGCTGGCTCAGTTACCCAGCTTCTCCTTGTTCTGCGACAACCAGTCGGCAATTCGCATAGCCAACAAAAACGGATTCGCGAACAGGACGAAGCATATCGCCCTGCGATATTTCTTCGTAAAAGACGAGATCGAGAAGGGGAGACTTGAGCTGTCTTACTGTCCCACGTCCGAGATGGCAGCTGATTACTTGACCAAGAAGCTTGGAATGCAGAAGTTCGAGTACTGCATGCTGCTGACTGGACAGAGCCATGTCACCAGCAGCGACACTCCAGAAGCGAAGGTGAGTGTTGGAAACAATTGACTTCAGCGCCTCTGTCGTGTCGAAACACTAAGTCATAAACGAAGCAGAACATATCGAAGCATCGGCAAGTCAACCCTTGGAGGTTGAGCAACTGCTGGAGGTTACGCGAAAGTCAAAGGTCAGCGACTTTTGACTTGACAAATACAGCGCGACAGCAAGGACAAACAACTGACTCGTTATTGAGCAGTTGCCCGAGTCGTCACTGTATCGAACCGCAACAGCAACAGCAAAACAATTATTAGTTATAACTATTCATATTCCCTTGTACTCTTATAAAAGCTTGTATCCCTTGGTTTTAATCAATCTACTTTGCCCTCACATACTAGCGCAAGGTGGTTCATGTCAGAATGTATTTGCTGTCTAGCCTGCAGTGGGGTACTCTGTAATGAGTACAACCCAATTTAGGGTGTTGTACTTGTATCCCAACTCTTGCTAGTGAAACTCCTCATTCTCCTTTCCAATTCTCTCGACACTTTAACCTAGCTATGGCTCCTAAGCCTAAGTCACGCTAGTGTTCCAACATGCTATCAGAGCATTACGCTCCTGGCCTGTGGGCCCACCTGCTTCCGCTGCCCTACTGTGTGTCGCGCGCCCCGTGGCGCGCGACCTCCTAGCGCGTGGCGGGTTTTCTGCCCGCCGTGCGCCCCGAGGCGCGCGGCGGGTTCCTGCTTCGTGCGGTGCCCTGCGGGCCCGCGCGCCGGCCCCTCCCGTCACCTCGTCGCGGCGCCTTGGGGGCCCGCGCGCCGGCCCCAACCGTCGCCTCGTCGCGGCGTTTTGGGGGCCCGCACGCAGGCCTCTCCCGTCGCCTCGTCGCGGCGCTTTGGGGGCCCGCGAGCCGGCCCCTCCCATCGCCTCGTCGCGGCGCCTTGGGGACCCGCGAGCCGGCCCCTCCCGTCGCCTCGTCGCGGCGCCTTGGGGGCCGCGCGCCGGCCCCAACCGTCGCCTCGTCGCGGCGCCTTGGGGGCCCGCGCGCGGTCCCCTCCCGTCGCCCGTCGAGGCGCTCTCGGTGGCCCGCGCGGCTGCCTAGCTCGTCGCCCGTCGGGGCGCCCTGGGGGCCGCGCCCTTCCCCTCCCCTCCCTCCTACCTTTCAACTGCAGCAGCCGCCCCTGGAGCAGCCCGCACCTGCAGCAGCCGCCCCTGGAGCAGCCCGCACATGCAGCAGCCGCCCCTGGAGCAGCCCGCACCTGCAGCGGCCGCCCCTGGAGCAGCCCGCACCTGCAGCCCGTCCCGTCCCCCCCCCCCCCCCCCCCCCCCCGTGCATTCCGTGGTGCTGGGGGTGTGGGGTGCCGAGCATGGGGGTGGCGGGTGTGGGGGTGGCGGTTATGTGTTCCTCCCCTTGCTCCTCCTCCTCCCTCGTCTCCCACTGCTGCAGCTGTCGCTGAGGGGGGTGGGTGTGTGGGAGCCTAGGGTTTAGGGTTTAAGGAGGGTGCCGTGGGAGTGGAGCTAGGGTTTGAGCAGGGGGTGTGTGTCGAGGGTGTGGGGCAGTTGGAGGAGGTTGTGTGAAGGTAGCTGTCGTGTCGCCTGCAGCGCCTGTAGTCCGTCGCCCTTGCTTCGGTAGCCAGTGAGCCTGTTGCACCAGTCGCCAGTGGGTCCGTTGCTCCTGCCGCTCGTCTATAGCCGCGGAGCCAGTCACTCCAGTAGTCCGTCGCCCTTGCTTCGGTAGCCACTGAGTCAGCCGCTCCTGTGCCCGTGCCTCTGCAGCTTCAGTCGTTGCCTCCCATCTTCTCTCCCTCCACAGTTCCTCCTCCTCCTCACTTGCCCGCTGTGATTAACTCTAGCTTTGCTTATCATTGTGAACTATTGCTCTATGACTGCTTGCTCTGCTGATTATACCCCACTTTGACTATGGGGGTGTGTCAGAATGTATTTGCTGTCTAGCCTGCAGTGGGGTACTCTGTAATGAGTACAACCCAATTTAGGGTGTTGTACTTGTATCCCAACTCTTGCTAGTGAAACTCCTCATTCTTCTTTCCAATTCTCTCGACACTTTAACCTAGCTATGGCTCCTAAGCCTAAGTTACGCTAGTGTTCCAACAGTTCAAACACTTCACTAAAAGCTTCCGCTATTACATCATCCCTATCCAGAGTTTAGTCCTGTAAAAGATTCTAAGGGCTTTTCTCAGCCCAACTCTTATTTCATCTCTCCACGCGGCGATGGCCTTCCGCTTCTCCGTGGGGCTCCGCGCGGACAAGCTGCGCAATATGATGCGCGGATCAGCGCAAGGCTGGCGCTCGACCAGCCAGCAGCAGCAACAGAGTGGCGGAATGGGCGGTGGAGTAATGGGCGGCGGAGGGAGCGGCGAGGAATGGGCGGCGGCGGAATGGGCGGTGGAGGAATGGGCGGCGGAGGGATGGGCGGCGGAGGAATGGGCGGCGGCGGAATGGGCGGCGGCGGTGGAATGGGCGGCGGAGGAATGGGTGGCGGAGGGATGGGCGGCGGAGGGATGGGCGGCGGAGGGATGGGCGGCGGTGGAATGGGCGGCGGCGGAACGGGCGACGGCGGAATGGGTGGCGGAGGGATGGGCGGCGATGGAATGGGCAGCGGCGGAATGGGAGGTGGCGGAATGGGTGGCGGAGGTACCGGAGGCGGAATGGGAGGTGGCATGGGCGGACTTGGTTCCTCTGCTCCCGGATCACAATCGGCCATGGGTCCTGGGGGGAACATGGGCGGAATCATGGGTGGCGGTATAGGCGGCGGAGGAATGGGCGGCGGAGGAATGGACGGCGGAGGAATGGGCGGCGGAGGAATGGGAGGGGGAGGCATGGGCGGCGGCGGAAAGGGCGGCAGCGGCATGGCTGGCGGCGGAATGGGTGGCGGCGGCATGGGTGGCGGCGGAATGAGCGGTGGTGGAATGGGCGGCGGAGGAATGGGAGGGGGAGGCGTGGGTGGCGGCAGAATGGTTGGTGGTGGAATGGGCGGCGGCGGAATGGGCGGCGGCGGCATGGGTGGCGGCGGAATGGACGGGGGCGGAATGGGCGGTGGCGGCGGCATGGCCGGAGGCGGAACGGGCGGGGGCATGGGCAGACCTGGTTCCTCTGCTCCTGGATTGCAATCAGCCATGGGTCCTGGGGGGAACATGGGCAGCGGAGGAATGAGGGGCGGCGGAATGGGAGGCAGAGGCATGGGCGGCGGAACAGGCGGCGGAGGCATGGGTGGCGGAGGTATGGGCAGCGGAGGTACGGGCGGCGGAGGTACGGGCGGGTCAGGGTGGTTTGCTCCACGGTCGCAGGCAGCACCCGGCCAGGGTGGACCTGGGATGGGCGGAGGGATGGGCGGAGGGATGGGCGGGGGGATGGGCGGAGGGATGGGCGGGGGGATGGGTGGGGGGATGGGCGGAGGGATGGGCGGAGGGCTGGGCGGGGGGATGGGCGGAGGGATGGGCGGAGGGATGGGCGGGGGGATGGGCAGAGGGTGTCGAGAGTAAAGGGAAAGGTGGTTGCACTATCGAGAAAGTTGGGTACAAGTAACAAAACCTATACCCTACATTAGCTACCCCACTAAAGCCTACATTTTATTATGACATAGGCATATAGTTTGACACACCCCCATAGGCAAAGTGGGGAAGAACAAGGGGTCACAAGACCTGTCAAGAAAAGCAAAGCAAACTCGGGGTGGATCACAACGTCACCACACACACCGAGAACAAACAGAGGGCCACAAGGCCAGTTCACATGCAGAGGTATATATGCAACAACAGCAGTACAGTGATCACTACCTAACAACAGTAAGCATGCAGGTATATATATGTAGATCACAGTACGAGCAAAGTCTATGTGAGAGTACGACGGCTTATGCCAGCTATGCTTGCTTGCCTTTACTTTATTATGCTATTTCTAGCATAGGATAATCATATGCATGCATGAATTGCTTGATTTCCTAGGCTAGGTGCATTCCTATATTTTATTATAGTTATAGCACCGAGCTAGGTTGCGTGCACCGAATCCTGGCTTTTTGGCGGCCACCGAATTGCCTTCTACCGAATTCGGTAAGGATCTGTTCGGGACGCTTCGCGACCCGCGGAACCTTCGCGTAACACCTGGTTACGGGGCCTTGTGTCGAGCCTATATATAGCCTCGTGTTGTACCCAGGTGTTCATTCAATTCGATTCAATTCACATTCTCTTTTCTGAGCTCGATCCTAGATCCTCACACTTGGTAATCAGAGCGGATTTTCACGCGAGGTCTTCAACCGCTTAGTTCCGGCCTTTAAAAAACCGCGGGGGCGACGATACGGGTATGTAAAACCAGTTCCGCGCAATTTTTCTAAGTCCCCCTCGACTCGGTTTTCGAACACCCCTCAGATTTACTGGTGGAATGGTTGGAGTTTCGACCGTTCGATCGAGTTTCATCTCAACGGCCCAGAGAATTTCGCCCAAAAAAGTTGGAATTTGGAGCGTCGGATTGATTTTCTCCTCAACGGCCAAGATCGGACGCGAATTTCGCCTGAAGGGAGATTTACGCGACCTACAGAATTCGCGCTCGTCGATCCTTAAGTCAACTTGACTCGCAGTAAGTCGACCAGCACCTAGAATTCGATTTTTTTTCGTCGCGCATCTTCCTGTAAATCGCCAAATGGAGGGAAAAGGAGATATTTCAGTACAGAAAATCGCTGAGTTACGTGCTGAGCATAAGCAAATACATGCGGCGCTCCCACGACTCGAAAAACTCCTTGCAAACCAGTCGGCAACCGCCACAGCAGCAGCGACAACAGTAGCAGCAGCAGCAGCAGCAACACCGACAATTCTACATGCGACAACGGCAGCAGCTACAGTTAACCTCGAAGCAGTGAAGCCGAGGCTACCGGAGGCGTTCGATCCTACAGTAAAAAGGAACGACGTTTGTCGATTTGTAGCTGAACTTGAAATTTACTTCGAAGCCGTTGGATGCACGACCCCGACAAAAGACGCGATGCGCATACGGCTCGCAGCAACACTGTTACAAGGCCCAGCTCTAGAGTGGATCAACAACAGAATAGTCCAAGGCGAGGGGACGTGGGCGCAGTTTCCGGCAGCACTGATCGAACAGTTCGACACGTTGAACAGTAGCTACTACGGAACACGACGCAACAAGCCAACTAGTGGCATGGGGCGATTGGCACCACCCACGACTGCCGACCCGATGGAGAACGACGAGGGCGATGTGGAGCAGCGGCTAGCAAATAATGAGACGTGCAAATTTTGCGGCGCTACAGGACATCGTATCTTGGCGTGTTGGAAAATGAAGAGAAGGTGTGCGGAGCTGAAGGACAAGAACAGTGCGGCACCCCCGAAGCAGAAAACGGACAACGTGGCAACTTCGGAGAGGGCGAAAAAAGGAGAATATGGTGGCGCAAATTTAAAACGTCACGACCAGCCGGCACCAGGGGAAATCGCCGAGACTAATGGAGGATCCGCGAAACAAGACCCTGCACCGACCGGGAAACTCCAGCCGTATACCCCGACAAGTAAGAATATTACTTCTCGTGGGTTTCAAGCCTTTACTAAGGGAGAGTCAGAAATTAAACCGGTACTGGGTATTATGGGGACCCTACTCCAGAGCGCTAATACGGGTCGAGCGTTCCGAGGAGTTAATATTCTCTCCCAGCAGCACTCTTTAAAGGCTCCCTGTTCCCCACAGATGAAGCCTACACAGCTGCAAAGGCTTAGTGGAAGGTTCCAGGCCCAAGAGAAGCCGAATCGGCCTCGGATAAATCCTTCTAACCTTTCTCAGTTGAAAACTGATACTGAAGCTGCACCTTCGAGCGCAGGACCTAGGGATAACATATTCGACGTACCCTACGATCCTATAAGCGATACCATCTACGGATACTCGGAGCAGCAGCAACCACTAGTACTCGAGGTGATCTGCAACGGGCGTTGCCTCCAGGCCCTGGTGGACAGTGGTGCGTCCCACTCGGTGTACGACCGTGGGATGTTGGAGAAAATTGGAGAATCCTCAGAAGAAACCCAGTTTACAGCAACGATGGTGGACGGTACGAAGCTTCCCATCCACGGCAAGTCAACACTGCAGCTGCACATAGGGGCGCTGAGGTGGAAGCCGATGTTGCCGATCACGAACATCAAGGGTTTAGATTTCATCTTGGGGCGAGATTTCCTGAAGCGGTTCAACCCCGAGATCGACTGGGTCAACCGGAAAACGTGCATCTACAACAACGGGAAACGAGTGGAGCTGCGAAGCTGGACGGATACAGGGAGCGTTCCTGAAACGACACTGGCACGGTTCGAACGGACAGTGACGAGAGTAACACGGGTTACTTAGCACTGGTTATGGCAGCAGCAGAGGAGGAGGTCTTGGAGCAGTACAAGGATATAATGCCCGACGACCTACCCGCAGGCGTACCTCCAGCACGCACCCACGAGCACGAGATCGTGGAGGAACCAGGTGTGAAACCCGTCTCACGTGCACCATACCGACTGAGTCCGACTGAACTGACAGACATGAAAAAACAGATAGAGTATCTACTGGACAGACAACTAATCCGCCCATCCACCTCTCCCACGGTGCACCAGTTCTCCTCACTCCAAAGCCAGACGGTAGTTTACGGATGTGCATCGACTACCGCGCACTGAACAAACAGACAACACTGACTACAGCGCCAGTACTCATCCTACCGGATCCAGACAGAGACTACGTGGTGGAAGCAGACGCTAGTGACCAAGCAGTCGGAGCAGTACTGATGCAGCATCACGAACGCAGTTTGCAGCCCATCACCTACCTCAGTAAGAAGCTGTTACAGTGGGAGAAAGACTTAGCTGTAAGGAAGGGTTCAGGAAAGATTTGGGTACCGAATTACGCCCCGCTACGGCAGATCCTATTGGAGGAATTTCACGACGTACCTTACGCGGGAAATTTCGGGAGCAACAAGACGTTAGCAGGGATAGCGAAGTATTACTACTGGCCCGGGATGGCAGCAGACGTGCAGCAGTTCGTCACCTCATGCGACACGTGCCAGCGGATGAAGAGCAGCAAGCAGAAAAAAGCAGGGTTACTTCAGCCTCTACCCGTACCGGAGCAGCCATGGCAGGTCGTTAGCCTCGACTTTATCACAGGACTTCCTTCGACCTCACGGGGACATGATTCCATCCTCGTAGTCATCGATAAGTTCTCCAAAATGGGACACTTCATACCGACCAACGCCACCGCCACAGCTGAAGCAACTGCTCGCCTCTTCTTCGACCGCATAATCACCATCCACGGCATTCCCGCTACGCTCATCTCAGACAGAGACCCCAAATTCACGAGTAGGTTTTGGAAGGAACTCATGGGATTATTAGGGACCAAACTTGCGATGTCCTCAGCATACCACCCACAGACTGACGGACAGACAGAGCGACTCAATCAAGTGGTTGAACAGTTACTGCGCACAGCTTGCAAGGACGACGTCAGCCACTGGGACACACAGTTACCGACCCTAGAGTTCGCGTACAACAACGCCTCACATGCGGCCACAGGGAAAACTCCTTTCTTCCTGTGTTACGGACGGGAACCACTCACACCACAGCAGCCAACCACACCGTCACACGTCCAAGCCGCACATGACTTCGTCACCACCATGCAGCAGCTATGGGAGAAGACTCAGCGACGTCTCACCACGATGCAGAACTCCCAGAAGCAATATGCCGATCGTCAGCGACGAGATCACTCAGTAGCAGTCGGAGATCAGGTGCTTCTTGACACACGCAACTTGAACCTGTCTCACCTCCCATCCAAACTCCGGCCTTGCTTCTGTGGTCCGTTTCTCGTGGAGGCACAGGTGACACCAGTTACATTCCGCTTGCGCTTGCCAGATACATGGAAGCTTCACAATGCTTTCCATGTCCAGCTACTGAAGCCCTACAAGGACCCCAACCACCAGTTCCAGGGACGGCAGCTACCGCCACCTCCACCTGTTCTTGTGCAGGATGAACCCGAGTACGAGATTGAGCGCGTTCTCACTCATCGGCGCCGCAGCGGCAAGGCCCTCGAGTTCCTGATACGCTGGAAGGGATACGACCCCACTGAGGATAGTTGGGTTGCAGAAGCTGATATGGGCAACGCACGCCGTGCTCTCAAGGACTATCTTGTCAAGCAGGGTGTATCTCACGCCACCCAGCTTTGAGGGGGGGACGTGTGAGAGTACGACGGCTTATGCCAGCTATGCTTGCTTGCCTTTACTTTATTATGCTATTTCTAGCATAGGATAATCATATGCATGCATGAATTGCTTGATTTCCTAAGCTAGGTGCTTTCCTATATTTTATTATAGTTATAGCACCGAGCTAGGTTGCGTGCACCGAATTCTGGCTTTTCGGTTGCCACCGAATTGCCTCCTACCGAATTCGGTAAGGATCTTTTCGGGACGCTTCGCGACCCGCGGAACCTTCGCGTAACACCTGGTTACGGGGCCTTGTGTCGAGCCTATATATAGCCTCGTGTTGTACCCAGG